TCTGTTCAGCCCTGTTCCTATTGCTGCAGCCACGGTGAGGTCATCTATGCATCGTTCTTGCAGTGTCTAGAAGACACAGCTTCATTGGAGTCAGCCATCTTCTCTGACTTCCAACAGTCTCTCCACCTCCTCTTCAGCATAGCTCCCTAACCCCGCAGGGGAGGGATTTGAGAGAGACATTTCATTAAGGACTGAATGTTCTAAAATCTCTCTCTCCATCATCCACTAGTGGGTCTCCATGTTAGTTCTTCTGTACTGCAAAAGGAAGCCCCGTTTGTTTTCTGTTTTTTTTTTTTTTTTTATTCTATGCGTCCTTTACGACATATATCTTGATCTCATTCATTTCATTTCCTGCTTTCAAGCCCTCAGGTTCAGCAATTCCACACCTATACCATTAGGGCCAGCTCTGTGGTGTTGCTCAGGTAACGTGCAAGGCCACTATTCCCAGTGTTGCAGCTGGTGAGGTGAAGGGAAAGCCCTCCTGCTCTTATGGCTCCAGCGACAACTCCTCCACCTGTCTCAGGTGCTGATGGTCCAGATGAGGATTGGAGAGGGTATCCTTCCTTCACCCACACTACCACATGTCTGATGAATATTGAGGACACTTCTCGTTTGCTCATAACACAGGGGCTGGGTCATCCTCCTCTTACCACCTGACAGTTCTACTGTGCTACTTAGGTGAGCTACAGGGCCTGTTTCCTGAGTGCTGCAGAGTAAGGGCAAGCATCAGAGCTCTCATCTGTTGTACGCAGTAAGGGGCAAGGGAATAAACGGAAGCTTCGTTGTTGATGGCTGAGCAAAGCATTGATGTGAGTTCCAGCCTAGTGTGACCACTCTATGATTTTACTCTTGTGTTGTACTTTTAATTTTGATTTCAGAGTAATACTGGCACTGCTGGCAAGGATGAAGACAACTGGGCAAATGTGAACTCTGCTTGTGTTGATGTAAACTAGTTCAGAAACCGTGGATGTCAGTGCAGTGCGCTCTCAAAGTGAAATGACAACAGCAATACCCCACATGCACACCCGATACATCACTTCTGAGTATTCACCCAGAGTATTCAGGTCACCACATCACAGGGATTCTTGCACTTTAATGTTTATCAACAATACTCTTCATATTAGCTAAATTGTGGGACCAACTGTGGTGCCCAATAACAAAGGAGTAGATAGAGAAAAAGGATTGTACATGAATAATGATATTGAGCAGCTATAAAGAAGAAAATACTGCCATTTGTAGGAAAATGGCTGCAATTGGGGAAAATCATATTAAGGGAACTAGACCCATTCCAGAAAGACAAATAGATAAAATCATGTGTGCATATGGGTCATGAGGGTAGAAGTAAACCTGTTAAAAAAATGAAAGTTAGCAGTGGGTGGGGGCTTGATAGTGGAGGCTGGGGTATATTGGAATGATATGCTGAATATACATTCTATATTCACACAGCAACATAGAGCACAAATACAGTACCATTGACAGTTTCTATAGTTTATCATATGAGTGCACATGTGCATGTGTGTATGTGCATGCGTGTTCAATCACAAATCATGGTACATATGTAGAGGTGGGAGGACTACTTTTGGGAGTCAGTTTTTCCCTTTTACTATGCAACTCTAGGGGTGAACTCCAGGCATCAGATTTGAGTGGAATTGTTTTACCTGCTGAACTGTCCTGTTCATCCTAAAGGGTATCTTTATATTAAACATTACATTGAATTATGATCAGAGACTGTATACTGACACTTTTATTCTATCAGAATGTGTTGCACGTATGGGCAGTGCATTAATTAGTGTTATAATAAGTATATACCTTAAATATAAACTAAGCTGATTTTCCTTTCACTGTGTTAAGCACATTGTTGGCAGTAGAGAAACATACACAAAATCTAGACTACTAGCAATATTCTTCAGTCTCTGCACTTGTTCAGTTCTTGTCTATAATATCTGTGTGATTCTTGAGTGTGATGCTCTTGTAGCAGGAATTCTAATTGTTCTTAATAAAAAATATCTTGGAGACAGATATTAAGGGGTGAAAGATGAAAGATCAGAGAAACATAGCAGCCCCTATGGGACCCCTTTTACCTTCTCTTCTTCCTCTTCCCAGAATTCTCCTCTTCTGGTAGCGCCACCAATACTTCCTTCCTGGCTGCTGGCCAGGCAGCATTTAATTAAACCAGTATGAGTGACAAATATTACAGTGTATAAAAGACTTATCCCACAGCTGCTGGGATTAAAGGCATGTGATCATAAATGCTAGGATCACCTTTGTGTGAGCACTGTTTCTCTTTTATACTGGAGCAATTTTGTGTGACCCAGGGTGGCCTTGAACGAATATAGATTTATCTGTGTCTGTTTTCCAAGTGCTGGGATTAAGGTGTGTGCAACCACTGCCTGACCTCCAGAGGCTCTGTTTTGTACTCTGATCTTCAGGGAAGCTTCATTTGTTAAAACACAGACAAAATGTCATCACATGTTCTAACTAGTATTCCATAATTTCTTTCAAGGAAGAAAGAAAATTACAGCTTGACAAGATCCCTCCTCACATGGATAAAAGCAAGCGATTTTAGGGGAGGGGAGAGTTGCACTGGAGACCCCTGAACCCCCAGCACTGGATTACAGACAAGCAGTGTTCTTGAGGTATGTGCTTTGGGGGGTAAGGCAGCTCTTTTTGAGTTACCTCTATGCCACACTCCTGTAGATCACTCAGTAACATACATCCGTCTGTGAGGCTAGACTTGGTGGAGACTGCTATTTGTCCCTTCATTGGTGCCTTATCTGGGCAGGACAGCTATTTGTTCATATTCAGAGGTTAACTTGAACAGCAGGCACATTTTTTTTACTTAGAAAATAATAGAAAAAAATAGTAATCACTTATCAATTTCCTATTATAAGTATAGAAAAGCCACAGCTTCATGTCCCTAACCAGGTAAATAATTAATGTCAACTTCATTGTGAAAGCATCTTACTTCTAAAGACTTGAATTTGTATAGATCAAAGATAATGTCTTAACTAAAATAACTTTAGGGCAAAGACTCCGTAACTGACAGAAGAATTTTGGGGCGAGTTACTCCAGTGACAACTTTTATTCTGAGCCTTTAAAGCCCCAAATTTCCAAATTAGTTTGCAATATATCCATGAGACCACACATGTTTCCTGAATGCAATGAACAAAACTGTAGAAATTGACAGTCAACAACTACCAAAGACCTAAACTTCTTGCCTGTGTTACTATACTGGGGAACACAAATACAATTGAAAAGTGAGATCAGTGGTCCCCTGGGCTGGTTGAGATGAGACCCAATCAAACTCAACATTGGATTGCCAAGGCAAACAGGCAAACTTTTCTTCTTGCCTTTCTACCTCCCTCACTCCCTTTACTTTTTACTGCTTTGGCCTGTGCTTTCTTTTCAACAATATCTGAGGAGAAAATAACCGATTTATATTTATGTGGAGACTGAATCCAGTTTGGTTACTAAGATACTTTGTTATTTAAAAAAAAATAACGAGGAGGAGAAGGTAAACTTGTCTCTGTGCTAGACATAACAAGTTTTAGCATAGCAATTCAAACATGATATCTTACCACTTTATGACTATTTAAACATTTGTTGATTTAGGTGCATGAGAAAATGATTTGAGTTCTGCCAGTGCCCACAGATATGAGGCCTGTTTCACCTTGAGTAAAAGCTGTAGAGTTTCAGCTTATTCTTGCTCCCTCAAAGTTATTGATAACTGGTGTGGCTACAAACAAGAGATCCCAACGTAGGGCGTTGTTAATTAGTATTTTGAGTATAGAGGTGGATCTGCTCCATCTTGACCAAACAGAGAATTCAAGTCCAATCTTGCACCTTCAAAGATATTGGCAGGAGGTCTCAGGGGGTGACTGCCTGCAGAATACTTGATCTATTCCTTATATCATGTTAATAAAGTCTATTGCCTCCCTCCTCCCCTTTTGGAGTGAAGTATACAAATAAATCCAGGAAAATTCAGCATTCACTGAATTTCCCTGATGTTCTGTGTTGTTGTCTTTCATTTCTCTCTTATCTCTGTTAATAATTCTAATTCTCACTCTCCTACCCTGGAATGTGTGAACACCATTGAGTCTGGACCTCGACAGAGTTCATATCTCAGGAGATTCTAGACAAGAGGAAGGAAACCTAGGAGGAGAAGACAGAGGAAGATGATTCATTTTCAAATCTTGTGTGTACATCAGCAGAGATGTCAATTACTGAAAAAAATAATGCATGGAATGAACAATGAAAAAACTTCCTACAATGTGTGCTTCTTTTAATCTTACTAAAAATGATAAACGACAAAACTTGGAATGTGGCAATATAGTGTTACCTAAAATGCCATATGAGACATGACAAGGAAAAGCTTTTTGTAAAAATGGGGCTGGAGAGATGACTCAGGGTTAACTGCTTCTATGAAGGACCCAGGCTTGGTTCCAAGAACCCACTTGGCAGCTGACAAACATCTGTAATTCCAGTTCCAGAGGAGACAATGCCTCTTCTGACCTCTGAGCACTCGTGCATGCATGTTGTACACAGATATCCATGCAAATGTATATACATGTAAAGAAAACAAACACTCTAAAGCATTTTCTGAAATGGATATTCTTATTATTTGATGGGAATTAAGCAGATGACACTGAATCATAAGCAATATTCCAGGAAGATAGGGTATTGTCAAATGCAGAAAGTTAGCTAGGAAAAGGAAGTTTAAAAGTACTATACATAGAAACATTATTTCCTTGGAGTGATTAATAATACTGATAAATAATAGAAGGTACAATTGTGAAGATGCTCAACTTTAGATACCTTGGCCACTTTGAATGATGGTAATGCCATAAAATACCAGTCTAGATTTGGACAAGTTCACACTGATTTCTCAGCATGCCTTGTGAAAATCTACAAGGATATGGATAAAATCTAGTTTTACAATTAATTTGATAGTTTTTGTGTAAATTACACTACTTGCCATGGATAAAAAACATAATGTACCCTTCCAAACATGCCAAAGTGAGACACATGTGTATATACCAAATATACATATTTGTACAGATAGACTAGGGAATAACATATGCATATAAAAACATATGCATGTATAACAGACATACATATATAATGTGAAATATATAGAAAGATAAACATAGGGACACATGTGAAGTAAGTAGTAAAATCTGGTAATAATCATCTCAGGACACAGAGCCCAGGGTGCACACTGTCTTCCTTTTTATTGTTGAGTCAACGACAGCAAAGCTTTCCCATGGAACTCCATGCAGGCAGGAAACAATATGATGTCTTCTTGGGCTGCCTTGGATGGTGTTGTCGGGGCCTGGAGGCCAGCTTCTCCTCACATAGTTCCACTTGTTATTCTTGATTGTGACCCCCTGAGGAAGTCAGATGAGCCCTGGGTTACTGTAGCTGTGCCTTGCTTGGCATATTTATCATCTACAAATTATCTGCTATAAATATACCTCAGCAGGATCATCATCAGGCCAGCTCGGTAGCCGGCAATTTATGAAGGTTATGGGAAAGAGTGTGAAGGGTGAAGCGCCTTATCAGAGTGGCTTTCCTTTCTGACCCAGCCCTGCATCCTACTTGAATTAAAATGATCCCGGGAACAATGCTCCTTTCCGTTTAGGATTAAGTCTTTTTAAATTGTCCCCCTAGGCTGTTATTCTTACTCTATGGTGCCATGACTTTAGGGATTTCTAAGAAACATTAAAATCACAGTGCTCAGTGATAAGAGAGAAGACACGGCTGTGTGAGAATTCTAACTAACCCCACATTATTATATGTGTTTATGCACAAACCATGCAACGTATTTTTATTCTCCATTTTTATTACACACTTATTATGAATTTATTTATTTATTGCTCTGGATAAAATAACAGACTGACCCAAATGTCTTGCAAATATTATGACTGTTATGCCAAAAGTTGAAATAAATAAAGAAACATTTCCCTCTTTTGTACTGTAGAATAGTCTTTGTTTTTACAAGAAAATGTGTTCATTATACATACTATGTTTTGCATTTGATATATAAGACCCATTTTCTTTTCACATTCCCTTAAATGAATAAAAGCATTGTAATGAACTAAAGATGACACAAAACCAAAATGCCACCCAGGCTGCTCTCCCTGGTGATTTGTTCCTGGGAACATAGTTGAAGCCTGCTGGAGAGTGATTAACTGTTTCCCTTACAGGGTGTTCCTTCAATTCTTGTCCTAAAAGAGAAAGCCTCGAAAAGGGTCATTCTATTAATATGCATTACGATGTAAAGAGCCAAAGAACCAATTTTAATATTTCAAACAATTCTGGTGCATAAAGGATCATCAGCACCTTCCCGTGTTCTCACGATAGCCCGCCCTGGAAAACTGTGCTCTTGGCTAAGCAGCCGCTCCAGGGGAGAGGAACAAGGAGAATAAAAAATGCAAATGAGAGAGTAGAGAGCAAATGACGGAAAATTGCTTCATTCAACTTCACCTTTCGCTCGGGCAACTCACCCTTAGGAAGGCTCGCGGCTCAAAAGCATAGTCCATCTTGTCTCCTCCCACCACATCACCACACTATCCAAACACTTGTTTTGCAAACCACCAGCCGCGTCTACAAGTAGAGACAAAACTAGAAGGCGAATGACCAGTTGCAGCCTGCTTCTGAAACCTATCAGATACTTCTTCAGACGTCTGTGCAGGAGGCAAAAATAAACAACACGTAAATGAAACGATGAAGGCGTCTAGAAATTTATCCTCTTTCCCCCCTTCTCTATGGGCAACAGTAGCTTTTCCTCATTTCTTCCCATCACTTACCCAAACTTGCTACGAGGAGGGGAAACTTGACAAGGAATAAATGCATTAAGAAAGCAGAACGAATCAAAAGTTTAGAACCCGCACTATTGCCCCGTCGCCGTGCAGAGAGCAGTGCAGGAAGCCTGACCTCGGTAGCCCGCACAGTGGTCCTGACAAAAACTGTTTCGAGCCTGAACAAATAAGATGCTAATTGCAGTCTGGCTCTGACGGAAAACAAAAACAAAAACACACAAAAAACAAGAGAACAACAAAAACCAACTATTGTTCCAGCTTCTAGCCAGAGACAAGTAGCCGCGGGAGGTGAGAGGTGGCCCCTCAGCTGCTGACTGGATCAATGCTAAATCCCGGTGGTGACTGACAGCTCCCCCGCTGCGTCAGGTCCGCACTGAAAGGCCGAAAAAAGAAGGACGGTCGAGTCCAGCGTTTACTTCCTACCCCTCCGGGTCGCCTTCCCGTCCTCCGCGCCCCCCCCCTGCCTCTCCTCCAGGAGACTTTCTCCTAGAGTTGGTAGCCACCAGCCTCAGCGGTGGGAACTGAGGATGAGAAAACCTCCCAGACGAAGAAAAGACTGCTTTTCCGGACGGGCTCGGCTTTGGAGCAGCGGGGGCGCGGGCACGGCTGCAGCCCGGCAAAGCCCGCTCCCGCCCTCCTCGCTCCCGCGCCCGCTGGTCCGTGGGGAGGCGGGGGAAGGCCGGACTCCAGCCCCCCGCGGGGCAGCGCTCCGCCGGGGACGCGCGCACCCACGAGTACGCGCGTGCGGTGCGGGGCGGGAGGGGGGTGGTGTTGGTTGCCGGGGCGGCGGGTGCGCGCCGAGGAGCGCGCGGCCCCCATCGTGCGCGCAGCCCCGGGGAGAGCGAGCGCCGCGCGCCGGCGCGCACGCCCGACACACAGCTTTACTATATCGCGCCCTCGCGCGCCTCCCTCCTCGCCGGGCTTTCACACAGCTTCCCGACGTCGCCAGCCCAGGATTTTTTTTTTTTTTTTTTTTTTTTTTTTGCCTCAGCTCGTCAGCCGCGCTCGGTCTATCGGTACCTGGCAGGGAGGAGGGCGCACCGAGCAGCCAGCTCCAGCTCCAGCCTCGCCACCGGCCGGGAGCACTCCTGTCAGCAGCCCGCCGCCCCAGCCCGCAGCCTCAGCCGCCGCCGCCGGCGGCCACTTCTCAGCGCTTTTTTGGCTTCTTGGCCAATCCGTTTGTGGGGGGCGGGAGGTGGGTTTGGGAAAACACATCTGCGCTCTTAATCCACTTCCATTTTTGTTATTTGTTTTTTGTTTGTTGTTTCTGTCGAGACCCCCTTCAGGGGGCCTCTCCCCGGCTCTCCTTTGGAGGCTTCATTCACTTGGAGAAGGCGCAAGGCTCTGGCCACTGGGTACCCCCTTTTCTTATGTCCCCCCTTTTTGCTTCTCGTATGCGTGCATTTTTTCCCCAATAATAAATCCTGTTATTTGAAGCTGAGCCGGGGGAAAAAATGGGCAACGGTGATTGGGACCGAAGGGGAGTCTCTCCGTCACTGTTGTTGGGACCTGTGCCTGTGTTGGTGTCTTAGACCAAAAGCCTCCCGGAGCTTTCGGAGTGGAAGGTAAGGAAGGGGGCCTCGGGGTCACCTCTGTCTTCTGGGGTCGCCCCGGAGAAGCTTGGAATCAGTTTTTGTGGGGAGGGAAGTCAAGGCTGTTGCTGGCGGATGGAGAGATTCTGAGCTTACTTAAACGCCGCAGTTGAAAAGTTAAGAGAAGTCTCTGGTTTTGAAGAGGTGAGCTGGGTGGGAAGGAATAGGGAGAGAGACCCAGAAAATCTAGCAACTCGTGCGTGATTGAGATAATTTTAGCGGTGGGGTGGGGGGTAGGTTAAAAGGAAGTTAGGATCCAGTAGGACTGGGTCTTCTAGTGGGAGAAAAAAAAAATCAGTGGAGTGATGGCGCCGTCTATGTTCGGCTAAACTAAAGTGTCACCCAGAAGATCAGTTTGGAAAATAGCTAAACTCAGTGCTGGTTTACCTCTCAGCAAGAGCCAAATAAATAAATAAATAAATAAATACAGCATTCTGGAGACCTCGGTGACCATCCCTTAGCCAACCCCTGGCCCGTTATTTTCCGTAGACAGACATACAGTTGTTTGAACAGGCCCTGCAGTGGGGGTGGGGGGGCGACAGTTCATTGATTCATATTTATTATTATTTGGAAAAAAATCAAGACTTCCTCCACCAAGACTGATTAAAAATGAAGAGCTTTCCGTGAAGGGTGCCCGCTCAAGAGGGGACGTGAAAGCGGCTCATTCCCACTCTTTCTCGTCACTGATAAGCACAGTATTGCCGACATGCATTGTCAAAGAAATGGAAGCAGAAATATCGATTTTATAAGGAAAAGAACTACGACCTCCTTTTGAGTTCCTGATTATAAAATGAAGCCCCCTTTCATGGTTGGAATTCCTAATTTAGACACTTACTGTCACATTGGCTTTCAACGCCTACACTCTATCCTGAAGAACACTGCGCAGACCTGCATTGCCTGCGAAGTGCTACAGCACACACACACACACACACACACACACACACACACACACGCTCTTACACACGCGGAGGAGACTGTTTCCAGTTTTTTCCTAACCACACATTTTGATCCCTAAAAGATCATTGCCTTTATTTTTCAACTGGAAAAGGCATTCCTCCTCGCGCTGTGCGTTTGGAAGAGAAAACACTGTTCTGGTAGTCGTGTCTGTTCCTGTGTTATTTTAGACTGCTGCTATATAGAGATTTACAGTTGGGGCTGTTTGGCCTCTGTCAAGACATACTACTTGAATAATGATCTATAACATGCAGATATGTTCAGGGACTTTGGTCATTGGATTGGGAGTGCATGTGTTGGTGTGTTACGCAATGGCAAAGAAGGTTTTGTGCTTTGGCTCAAAGAGGACCAGACAGAGCAGGCATGGGAACTCTTTAACTGTCTATATGTCTGTCTGAATAGCTCTTCTTATAGAACAGTGGAAAAGACTTCAGCCTAAAGCCTTTTAAAATTAACTTGACATCACTTTCATCAGTTCAAAGGCTGGGCAAAAAAAAGCACTGTCATTTATTCTGAGAAATAACTTCGTAAAGGTTAAAGCTGAAAAATATTCAAGTTATTTTGGGATAACAACTTATAGAGATAAATCTAATCGAGGATGCTTTGATAATGGATAAAAACAAACAACAAAAAAAGAAGAGCTCTGGAGCACTTGTTTGAAAGGCAGAAATTCAGTCATTGAGAGCAATAGGGGGAAAGCTACCAATTTTTATATCTATAATGTGTAAATCCTAATTTACAGGAGATAATGCTAGATAAGACAACCACAATTTAGAGAGAAAATTCAAAGACTGGAGGGAGCTCAGTGAGTACAGTTCTGGGATCCCCCCGCCCCTACACACACACACATTGCCTTTGGATACAGATACTAATACAGTGATCCACTTTATGCATCCCAGGAGGGCATGTCATATGAAATGACTGCCTCAAATCTTGTCCTCAGTGGCGATGCTGAACATCAGGACTTTCCTGTGTCTGTCCATCTGTGCCCTTCCCAGACGCTGGCTTTACTGTCCTATGAGTCCCCACGAATGCCCATGTTTTTGCACGGGCATGTCTCATCAGTTCACATGGTGCCCCCTGCAAAGGCAAGTAGGGGCATTTGGAAGACGATGCTCCATCTGGAACCCATGATCGTTTGTGCCTTTAAAGCCGTGGCCATAATTTATCGTGATTACTTTTCACATTAAAGAGTAAAGAAATGATGCCATGACAGCTGCTCCCGGATTATCAGATTAGATTCTGTGTGGTGGTGTTTACCGCAGGCAGAAGACAGGAGGGAGAGGAAAAGGCTGGGGAACTTGAGTCCAGTATCTCAGCAATTAACATGTAGGTTACTCCAGGAAGCCAGTTGTCCCGCTTCACTTGGTAGATTGATAATGGATGTGCAGGAAACCCTGGTGGATGAATTAGGACATAACTATTAATAATCTATTAAATGTTATTTTTATATTGAACGTGGAGAATCTGTTCATTGCCAGTAGCCACGTGAGGGCGCTGTTCGCACGGCAACTGGTAATTTCCCGGCGTTATAAAATAAAAATCACCTGCCCTTCTTTTAAAAAGGGCTTTTTACGGAAATCTTGAAAACAGCTGGCTGCAATATTGGACGGGTTTTGTTTTCTCAATGCCTGTGGTCTTCTGCTTGCTTTTCACTTCCGCTGCCATTTTTACAGGCCAAATGACATAGGATGAAGGCTGTTCGTAACCTGCTGATTTATATATTTTCCACCTATCTCCTGGTTATGTTTGGATTTAATGCTGCCCAAGACTTCTGGTGTTCAACTTTGGTGAAGGGAGTCATTTATGGATCCTATTCTGTAAGTGAAATGTTTCCCAAAAACTTTACAAACTGCACTTGGACGCTGGAAAATCCAGATCCAACCAAATATAGCATTTACCTGAAATTTTCCAAAAAAGACCTTAGCTGCTCTAACTTTTCCCTTCTGGCTTATCAGTTTGATCATTTTTCCCATGAAAAAATAAAGGATCTTTTGAGAAAGAACCATTCAATAATGCAACTCTGCAGTTCCAAGAATGCTTTTGTTTTTCTACAGTATGATAAAAATTTTATTCAGATACGTCGAGTATTTCCAACTGATTTTCCAGGATTACAGAAAAAGGGCGAAGAAGATCAGAAATCTTTTTTTGAGTTTTTGGTACTGAACAAGGTGAGCCCAAGCCAGTTTGGCTGCCATGTCTTATGCACTTGGTTGGAGAGTTGCTTAAAATCAGAAAATGGGAGAACAGAGGCTTGTGGAATCATGTACACAAAGTGCACCTGCCCTCAGCATTTGGGAGAGTGGGGAATTGATGACCAGTCGCTGGTTTTGTTGAATAACGTCGTGTTACCCCTGAATGAGCAGACGGAGGGCTGCCTGACTCAGGAGCTGCAAACTACTCAGGTCTGCAATCTGACCAGGGAGGCTAAAAGACCACCCAAAGAAGGTAAGTGCCCAGAGAAAGGGGGAAAATGGGTGCTGGGGGGTGGGGAAAACTTTGCATGGAAGTAACCCTTGCTGGATCACTACTTCAGCCTAATTTATTCTGTCAGCTTTGAAGTAATTTGATTTGTGGTCTTCACTGTTGAAGGGCTCTGAAACTAGGTTTAGCCTTCATGACATTAGAGACAAGCGGAGGCCATGGGCAGCTCAGCAGAGTGCTCTGGAAGTCTGGGGGGAATGTTCAGGAGCAGAGAGATACAGAAATGAGAAGCCAGTTGTGTTAAGGGTTAATGAGGAAATGTGTGCCTCTGTGCAGGCTAGGAATCCACACATGCTCCTAAGGGTAAATGCATATACAAACTTCCTTCTGATCAAGTCCAGCAAATGTCCTCTTCCCTTTCTTTCACCTGTTTCTCACCCTCTCTCCTCTCCCTGTGACTTGAGGAAACACTCAACAGAAAGCCTCTGTGGACTCGGAGACTGCCTGTCTCTGAAGTCAAGAGGGACCATTTTCACCCAGGTCCTTGTTTTGTGGAGAGAATTTTGCACAGTACATCCCTATGTGTGGTCTTTGGCCAGGCAAGAGAAACACACTGGAAGCCACAGCTCCCTGGGTCTCCACCTCTGAAGTCTCCAGCAGAAAGGAGGGGGTGGTGGCAGTGAAGGCGCAGCCAGATTCTAAACCACCAAGTTGCTTCTTGCAAGTCGTTTCTCAATACTTTCTTGGTCCTTTGTTGATATGGTGATATGGGGGAGTTGGGGGGGGGTAAGAAAGAGAGAGAGAGAGAGAGAGAGAGAGAGAGAGAGAGAGAGAGACTCAGGAATGAGCTAAGTGGGGGAAAACAAAACAAAATAGTGCAACGGAAATGCAGAGGAAGAATCGCAAGTGTTCCTGTGGCTTGTAATGTTCACCCATCCTCAGTGGGGGAGCTAGCAGAAGCTTTAAGATTGTGGCTTATTTTTTAATAATGTAAGAAAGCATGGCATATTTTGAGAAAATGACTTTTGCTTGGAAGGTTAGTGGCTATGCTCCATTCGTTAGAGGACAGAGCCAGTGCATATTCTTTCTTGTCCCCCAGCCCTGCAACCAGTGAGTGTGTTGATTTCTTATGCAGGAAATGTTTTCTGATTGCCACAAAGATCCCAGTCTGTGGAAAGGGACAGCCAAGCTCCAGTCCCTCTTTCCTCTCCCTCCCCCAACAGAAGTTGTCTTTGTGGCCAATATAAAATTGACACGTTGTTGGAGAATTTTCTTTAATGGTAGCCAAGGCTTTGTAGGGAAGTGGAGCCAGCAAGGGGAAAGGGGAGGGGTAGAGAAGCCTCGACAGCTTGGTGCTGTTTCTCTGCTGGCTGCAATTTGGGGGATGGGAATTATGGAAAAGCAATGGCACAAGGCAGAAAAGAAAGTTAGAAAATGAGTGCAGGCTAATGGCAAGGAGAAAGGGCTGAAGCATTTTCAGATTGCCACAGGTCAGTGTCTCACTAACATCTGTGGCTGAAGAAAACAAAGTAGTTTTAAATTACAGGAGTTCTTTTCTCTAGTAAAAAAAAAAAAAATCCCAGAGAAGCACTTACAACTGCAGGGATGGTATTTAACACCATTTAAAACTAATTAGTGTCCCCTAGAATAAGAACTACAGTACACACAGAAAGTGGGATGCCACAAGCTCACTGAGAAAGCAGCGAGCATCCGAAACCTAGCTTTGTGTGTCTTCTTGGTGTTTAAATAGGAATTATAAATGCAGTTCTTCCATTGTTCAAATTCGATCATCAACTTCAGCCCTGATCAGATTGAAAGCGGAGAATTTATCCAGGTCTGCAGCCTGTTCTCAAATGAAGGTGGCAAAAAAAAGTTGGGAGCTCATTATGCATGGTTTTCAGGGCTGCTGCTGGTGGTCAGCATGGGATGTGGGCATTGCTGGGATTTGTAGAAGCCACAGTGCACATTTGATTTGCAGATGAGTGGGTTGGAGGCATTGTATTGTAAAGCATGGGTAAAAGACTTATTTCATGTTGCTAATCAGCTGTAAAAATGAGAAGGAAATACTTGCAGAGGCAAATATATGCTTATCTTGAAATTTTATAATGTGTATGATGCCAAAGTACCAAATTTATATAATAGGGTTTTTTTTAAAGCTGTATCAATAAAAATTGCCCAGCTATATTCTTTGTAGTCTAAATTTATGCTTTCTAATTGTCTGGGTGCCTGGAGTTAAAAATGTGAGGATAAGTAGTTCCCCTGATACATTGAAGTTGGTAATTTATAAATAATTCTTTAAAATATGTATGATAGCCTTCTTATTTCATCCAAAGAAGGTTTTTTTTTTTTGTTTAGGATGCATTGTAGAAAAAAATATGAAAATTTAGACTCCTAATTTTGTACCATTTATGCAAAGTACATTAATTCTTAAATATTTTATGTAAGTGACATAAAGTACTATGTTAGGAATGATTTATTCAATATTATTTGAAGTAAACCACATAGCTGCAGCCAGAGGTTGAGGCTAATAATTACATACTGAATTGCTGCTCTTATTTAACTCAAGGGTTCTTCTAATTTATAATATGAAGTTTTAAAAATTTCACCCACACTTATATTGTTTGATGATCATGTTTTTTATGGAAGAAAATATTCATCTCTGCTGAAGGTGTTACAAGAATTAATACAGCATTATTCCCACCACAACTGTAGACTTGCAGTTCATTCATTGTGTACCTAGTGACTACAGTTAGCCTTAGCAGGTCTACCTAGATTGTATCATACAAGTGGCACAGATTTGTCAGGGATTCTCCAAACAGTAGACACAACTCCAGGTGGTTTTTGCACAGCAGTGAGGTTCATGACCAAGTATGACAATGGCTATTGTGATTATGCCCAATTTGGTTATGAGAATGGAGTTAGCACTGAGCAAAGAGTAGGCTCTCCACAGTGGATGTCTGTTGTAAGAGAGGATTTTTTTTTAAAATAAATACTATTCATCAAGGTGCAGAACTTATTACCCTTTCTTGTGATACCAACAATTGCAGACTACAACACCCAGCAAATTTCCTGCACAGTTGTTTCATTGAACATCTCATCTGAGCACACTCCAGAACATTCTAATTGAAAGTTGTATTTGACATAGTTGGAGGTGACATCTGCTCACAGAAAGTTAGCTATCAGTCACTCCTGCTTTTTTTTTTGAAATCATGAGGTTAATTTTAGAAAAGTGACTCTTTTTAAAAACAGTAATTTGACAGTTTAGACATTATTTGGTTTCCAAGACCCCCCCCCTCTCTCTCTCTCTCTTACACACACACACACACACACAATTAACATTGGTATCCACTGGATTTTTGGATGGAATTCCAGGAACAGACCAGCAACCATTCAGAAAACCATTTTCACATTTTCAGTAATATGCTTTATTACAGAAGATGACTCTGAATTGTATAGTTAGGATAGACATTTTGGCATGAAATCGAATGGCAATATTAAAACAGTCTGAACAGAAGAATCCTACACCAGAATATCCAAGTCATATAAGAAGTCTTAAAGGAACCTTTGTGTGCTGCTGACATCAATGGCTCTACTTATGTGAAGGGAAGCAGGAACCCTGTATAGATTCCAGGAAATCTGCACACACTCACCCATTTGTCTTTCTAGACTGGCTATGCTAATCCTGAATATCCCAGCTCCCAAGGGAAGAGTCACTGTGTGACTGGGTAAACTCTAGACTCTAACCCATAAGTGTGTGTGTGTGTATGTGTGTTTGCACACATTTATAATCTTGAGGGATTTTTATCTCCAGTGCCTTCTCTCTTCTTATTTGCCTTTATATTACTTTTTCTCCTACTTTTCATCTTCCTTCTTATCCTCCTTGGATCATGAGTCTTTTGTAAATTATTGCTATCACTGAACCTTCTTCAAAGAATATATAGTGCATCCATCTTTCTTTGAGGAAACAGACCCTGAAGTTTGCCCCTTCTTTTGCTGAATCCCGCAGCACTTTGCAAATACTGTAGTTTTGTTCTAGCACTTAACTCTCTTGCTATGTGATTCTTTTACTTAAATTTTCTCCTTTTTAGTTGAGTAAAAAGACTGGAGTTTTGAAATTGTAGCCCAGTCTTAACATAATCTTTGTGACTACCAGTTGAAATAAACATTAAGTGAACGAAAGAATAAAGTTCTGAAAAGGGAAGATGTTAATGTATTAATTGCAGTCAAAAATTACTGATGAATCACTTTGGAAAAGCAGTCACCTTTTACTTTCTCTTCTATGAGAAGATGAATACCATTCATAACCTTTCCAATTTCATTAATGCATTGCTGATGTCAGAGATGGATCTCTGAGGTCTTCTGATAATGCCTTGAAAGAGCAAGGGGAATACAGGCACTTAATAGTATTATTTCGCCATATTTGTTTGGACCTGTGAATGATAAGAACAGCTTGTTAAGTTTTACCATCTAGAAAATAGTGATAATAAAATCGGTACATTTCTCTGCGCATATCTTCTGCCCCTGGCACTACTGCTATAGTCATAGCATATTTCCCAAAACTTCCCTGGCAGAGTTTGAAGACAACACTTGTATAAAACAGAACGTTGATTTGTATTTTAACTCTAGATTAGGAACTATACACACTGTAAATAGCAGAATAATGCCAAAAAAAAATGAAAAATGGTAGTCAAAAATTGCTGATTTCCCCGTTTTCAATTTTAGACATTTACCAATTTAGGAAGTGCTTCACATATGCAGTGTTTATGAAAGAAAATGCTTGTAATGTGGTTTTGGAAGCAACTGCTTTATAATATTGAGAGAGTTGGGAATTAAGTGAAGTGTGCCTGCATGTCATGCTTGCACAATAAGGCAAGCGGCTTGTGATTCAATAGGTCTTTGTGTCTGCTGTAGAAAAATGTATTAAAATTATGTTTCTTCAAAAATTAAGGTAGGCGTTTTACTTCCCTGATAGTTGAGCTCCACGCATCCTTTAATTCACTGTATTTCCCTTAAGGGATTAAACT